TGTTAAAATCAGTTTTTTAAAGGTTAAAATCATGGTGCTGAAGATAAATTGACCAAGCGGTCTGAGATTGGTTAAATAAAATATGACACATACACTCACTAGAACATTATAAAACCATTACAAGATCAAGGTTGACGGATTCAGCAGAATTGAAACATGTCCAAATATATTAAGTTTAAAAAAATGCAAATTTCAAAACACTCGGCATAATATGATCTCTTCTAAACACACAAAAAAATAGTGGGCATAGTGGGCAAAATATATCAAATAGTCAATATTGATTATTTCTGAGAAGTAGGCATAGCATCACATTAATTTTTTATTGTCAAAATTCTGTTCCTCTATGATTTTTAATAAACAACATGTATTACTTTTAGAGGAATAAAATAAAGATACCTTTGCAGAAGGAGCTTTGACTGCAAATTGTCATACAAACATAATGAAAACGGTAACTTCAGATTTTTCTCATTTTACTTCTATGGATAATCTGAGCAGTCCTAATTGTATTACATTGACAGTGCACTTAAAAATAAAACCTTTATACTCAGCACCTGGGATTTGTAAATGTGAAAACGGTAACTTCAGATTTTTCTCATTTTACTTCTATGGATAATCTGAGCAGTCCTAATCGTATTACATTGACAGTGCACTTAAAAATAAAACCTTTATACTCAGCACCTGGGATTTGTAAATGTAGTAAGCATCCCATTTTGTTTTACTGTGTAGCTTTCCAGCTGTTCCTCCCATGGTCGATATCGTTTGTAATAGCACCTGCCATGCATAGCTGTTACAAGGATAAAACAAATTGAAATTTAAAAAGAGTAGTTAGAATAGTGTCTGGCACCTATGGTTCCATGAGCGTAACTATTTGCTTTATTATGATTATGACCACTCATTATTTTACCGTCATCAGCACGCTGCTCAATCTACTGCTTTTTCTAGCCACATTTCAGAGGTGTTCAAAAATTTCCCCTTGAACTGCCACTCCACTCCTCCCACTGAGTGTGTTTTGCAGAATGTCTCTGTGCCATTTTGCACTTCTAGTTGCAGACAAGGTGGGACGGCCATCCTCAGGTCACTGGCAATGCCCCCTGGGCGTGTGTGTGAGTTCTTCCTCAGAGAGAGGAGTGAATGGCAGCAGTCTTATGTCTAGAGATTCTAGATCCTATTAGCATGGAAATTAGCTTGATTTATATAGTGGAGATAGCTCCACAGTAAATAAGACATGGAAAGTGAAGTCGTGCTCCATACTATATTTAATAGTGGTGGGATCTTATAAAATGTTGTCATTTTAGACATCGGGAATTAAATACAACGATTAATTATGGGGGTTGCTTACAATTGCCAAATCGTCAAGCATTTCACTTACATAGTTGTGTTTTCTCGCTTTGTAGAATAATCTCCTGATGCTGGCTATTCTGGCATTTGAGGTTACAATTTACCGCCATCAGGAATACTATCGAGGGCGAAACAACCTTACAGCCCCTGTGTCTAAAACTATCTTTCATGACATTACAAGACTACATCTAGATGATGGACTTATAAATTGTGCCAAATATTTCATAAACTACTTCTTCTACAAGTTTGGTCTGGAGGTAAGTTTCCTTGCCAATATTTTCTCTTTTCTGTGAAAATTCAAAGAGCTATTTTGGCCAGTTGGCCTCTGGAGCTTCATTATACATCTCCAGGCCATGATCCATGTCTCCTCGGGTTCCACAGAAGGCACTTCTACTGATGGGTAAACATGGCTTAGCTGAAAGTTCTCCCAGACCAGGAGCACAAGGCACTTTGGCTTCTCAGGATTGCTAGAGCCATCTAAGTGCATGGATGACAGTTGTCATATTAACTGGCTTATTAAGAATAAACTATTATTAATCTTCATTTTTGTGTGTGCATTCTGAAAGTGTAACCTGCAGCCAAAATGAACTGTTCTTACCTGAAATGGTTGCAGTCATGCCTGTCCCTTAATAGAATGAACTTGGAACGGTGGTGTTTCATGAAGAGCCCGTAGCTGTAGTTGTCTTTGCTGTTTGCAGTGGTTTTCAGAACCGTGACATAGTCAGTTTTTCCCTTGGCAGTAATCTGTGCAGTGCTTATGTCTTGATGCTAAAAGACACTCAGAAGGGCAAGACCTGGGGAAACTGTGCAGACAGACCGCCCTGAGGACTGCAAGTCTCTGCCGCCTGTGCATGCCAGATGCCAGACACAACTCCCTCCCTGCAAATCCTACATTCTGCCTCTTTTCACCCTCACACAGACCTGTTTCCTAATGTCAGTGAACGTAATCGGCCAGCGAATGGACTTCTACGCCATGATTCACGCCTGCTGGCTGATCGCTGTCCTGTATCGCCGCCGGAGGAAAGCCATCGCTGAGGTTTGGCCCAAGTACTGCTGCTTCCTGGCGTGCGTCCTCACCTTCCAGTACTTCGTCTGCATAGGCATCCCGCCTGCTCCCTGCCGAGGTGAGCCCCCACCCCCACGCCCACCCTTAACCCCGCCTGGGCTTTAGAGGGGGCGGAGCTGGAAGGAGCATACTGACCTGCCCTTCACCCCTTCCCTCCCTGCAGACTACCCGTGGAGGTTCAAGGGCGCCAGCTTCAACGACAACATCATCAAATGGCTGTACTTCCCCGACTTCATTGTGCGGCCCAACCCTGTGTTCCTCATCTGTAAGTGGTGCAGCCAGAACCCGGAACACCAGCATCTGGGCTTCCTTTTGCTGCTCGTTCTTCACTGTTTAATCATGTCTTCATGCATTCCTATCACAAGGCCCTTCTACCTGCCCCATCACACTTGCAAAATTGATAAATCAGTATTGAAAATGCCACACCCACGTGCATAATCTCACCTTCCAGTACACACTCTGCACACACACACCACTGCATGCCCACCTTTTAAAAGATAGACTAGAGAGGAAGGCCTTGTATTTTCTGGATCCATGGTTTCTAGCTACCACTGCAGACAGACCAAACCTAAAAATAAGGCTGTAGTAGCAAGGAGGATGCTACCCAGCTCTCAGTCACTCTGGAGCTGGGCTCTATCCGCAATGCTTCCCAGGTCAGCCGGTGGTCCACAGTGTGGAGCAGCCCCCACAAAGCAATAGGGAGCACTGGGTGCTGTGGAAAACTCCAGTGACTGCCCTGCCCAAACGCCTTCAGGCTTCATTTAAAAATCAAGGCAGCCCCTTGTGCTGCAGACTGCCTGCAGGCATGGTTGGAGAGCCTGTTCTGTGCAGTCACCTTGGAGGAGGAGGACAGCTGTCTCAGACTTCTCTCTCTGCTCTCACAGCTGGTCCACTGCCTGCACCTGGAGTACAGGTGCATTCTTCTATAAACTTTGGAAACACAACTCACTCAGGAGGTGGGGGCAGCCCATGTTGGGTGACAACTGTGTGTTCATGACGTGAGCCCAGAATAGGACAAGGCAGTTCATGGCTCACCTTTGTCTTGCCAGATGACTTCATGCTGCTTCTGTGTGCCTCCCTACAACGGCAGATTTTTGAGGATGAAAATAAGGCTGCAGTGCGTATCATGGCAGGGGACAATGTTGAAATTTGCATGAACCTTGATGCGGCCTCATTCAGCCAGCATAACCCTGTACCGGACTTCATTCACTGCAGGTAACAACAGCTTCACATTTTTTGAAAGCCACTTCAATGTGTGCATTTTATTTAAATTGCTTCTCCACTTGAATTCTCAGTCTGCTATCCTTGGGCCACAGCTCAGCTGAACTATACACCGCGAAGCTAGTGCATGCAGGACATTGTGGCTCAGTAGCCCAGAGACTGAACCTCAGAATTCTAGTTCTGTGTCTGCTGTTGCCAGCGTTCCCCACCTCGGTGGGGCCTCCTCTGTTCTCCTGCTCTTCATCCCCCATCCCTCTTCTTCGTCCCCATCCCTCCTCCTCTTCCCAGTCCCTCCTCCCCATCCCAGTCCTTCCTCCTCGTCCTCGTCCATCCTCCTTGTCCCAGTCCCTCCTCGTCCCCGTCCCTCCTCCTCGTCCCCCATCCCTCCTCCTCGTCCCCGTCCTTCCTCCTTGTCTCCCGTCCCTCCTCCTCGTCCCCCATCTTTCCTTCTCCTTCCCTGTATTCACAGGGCACCGAGGATGGCTGGATCCCTGAACCCACCCTGTGCTGGCGCATCCCTCAGCAGTGCCTCCTCGGTGGCCATGCGTGGGCTCCCTTTCCAGCACCTTTTCTGTCCTCTGCCATCTTACCAGTCTCCTGACAGCTGACTTTGACAGCCTGATGGTCCCCTTCACAGTGTTTGCATTTAAACTGTGTTCAGTTTCTCACTGTGGATTCATCCCTTCCACACTCTCTGGGTCTCTGTGCCTGGTGTTTCTCCCCTGATGCCTGCTTTGTGGAGGACAGAGACACTCTTTGGTACAGTCAGCTCTTCCCATCCGTGAAAGCCTTTAAGACTCACCTCAGCCACCCACCATAGTGTGACATTTTGTGCTTCCTTTACTAAGCTTTGGACTTATTTACCTAACCTCCGATCCTCACCAATTAGTGTCTACCCCCTAGAGCTTCTGCGAGGATGCAGTGTGAGGCTCATGCACAGTCATGGCATGATAGCATGGCTACTGGTGTGCACGGAACTACGCGTAGCACATGACTGCCCTGTACACTGCCATCATATGCAAGCCAGTGCGGTCTGGGCCTCTCCAGCTTCTGACCTCCTATGGATCCTGATTTACATGGTGGGAATCGCCTTCTGCCTGCCATTGTTTTTTAAAGGACCTATCTTCTGCACCTCCACCTCTCCTAAGGTATAGGCACCTTAAGGCAAAGACTGCTTCTCACCTATTCTTGTGCTTGTCCGCATCCCCCCATAAGGGGGGCCTACCACGTGTATAATAACATCAAGTGCAGCAGTTGTTGAGCACTTACACCAGGCTCTGTTCCACGTGCTTTATATATACTGAGCCAGTTTACGCCCGTGACCACCCAGCAGGAGGCTGTAGTACTATCCCCACTGTGTAGGTGAGGAAACTGGCAGAGCTGAGACATGGGCAGTAGCAGAACAAGGACTTGAACCTGTCAGTCCAGCTCCAAGATCTGAGTGCTTCAGCATGAGAAGCTCAGTGTGTACTGCGTAGATCAGAAGCGAGTCTGCTCCAGAATGACATGCTACACAGACTTGAAGGTCTCTTTCGTGAGCACAGTGTGCTTCTCCTCAATGCAAAAGAAGAGCCAGCTCAGCTCACCCTTCTCACTGTTGCAAAGAGAAGAAATAAGCACTTGCAGGGTACTAATGAGTCCCCAAATGTCACCTCAATGAAAGTTTCATACGACACTGGTCTTGTCTTAAATTTTAAATTTTTTATTTTTTATTATTGTTATTTTTAATTGACAGATAATAATTATGCATGTTTATTGGGTACAGTGTGATATTTTGATTCACGTATAATCACATGTAATCAAATCAGGGTAATTACTGTATTTATCACCTCAGACATTTATCATTTCTTTGTGTTGGGAATATTCAACACCCTCTCTTCTAGTTATTTGAAGCATACTGTAGTCACTCTACAGTGCTATAAGACACTAGTACTAGTACTTATTCCTACTTTATAGCTATAATTTTGTGAACATTAACCAACCTCTCCTTCTCCCTGCTTCCCCCAACCCTTCCCAGCCTCTAGAACCTATTATTCTACTCTCTATTTCTATGAGATCAACATATTTTAGCTTCCACATATGCATGAGAACATGTGGTGTTTATCTTTCTGTGCCTGAGTTATCTCACTTAATATAATGTCTTCCAGGCCCATCTGTGTTGCCACAAATGACGGGATTTCATTCCTTTTTTATGGATTAGTAGTATTCCATTGTGTGTAAATACCACGTTTTCCTTATCCATTACTCTGTTGATGGACCCTTGATGCCATATTTTGGCTGTTTTGAATGGGGCTGAAATAAACATGGGAGTACAACAGATGTCTCATTACTGATATTTAAAACTGATTTTTTTTAAAAAAAATCAAGTTACAACTTTTAGATCTGTTTCTCAGTTAGGTCTGCCAGAATAGTGACCCCACTCGCGGTGTAACCTGTCAAATACCACCTTGGCAGTAAGCTTAGCCATCCTGCCCCTCCTCCTCTGCAGGTGTCACCCCTCAGCAGCTTGCGCTCTCTGGAAAGCACCAGGGCTCTGACGGTTACTCAGGTGCCCTTAAGGCTCCTCTTGGGAGCATGTTTACTGCTGTTTTTCTTGTTATCCCCACAGCTCAGCTTTGTGCATTCCAGACCTGAAGCAGGTTAAGCACCCAGGGGTGGAGGCCATGTCTGCTAGAGCAGAAGTAACAAGTTCAGGCAAAGAAGGAAGACGTGTTGACGCCCATGCTGTCCTGACACCCACACGTGTGTGCATGTGTGAAAACTGCCCACAGCCCAGTCTCACCACTTCAGTCCACACACGCTTTGGCAGGCCCTGTGTGCTCAACCAAATCACTGACTTTGCCTGTGATGTCCTGGTGACTTGACATTTTATTCACTCGCCTTTGTTTAGGAAGTCAAGGAAGGGTATAATATATTTATTTAAAAATTTTATGAAAACATTTTTAGTGTTTTAGTCTAAAAAGAGAAAGGTCAATAGCTCAAAATTCACTTCTCTGGAAAATGTACCATTAAGGCACAATTCTTTCCCTAAAAATGCTGGATAGGTCATGTTTTGTTGAGAGATTGCTTATTAACTCCTACAAAATAACAACCCGTTAATCAATGAACTAATCCAGAGTTGGTTCTCCTATGCTTCTTCCCAAACCTGGAAGAAGAGAAACAACCAAAGCCAAAATCCCAAAACAAAGAAGCTCTAATCAAGCAAATATAGATGGGCCTTGGCCTGTAAGTGTAACTTCTGTTAGACCCAAAATGATGACATTCCCCACCACCCCAGGCTTCGTGCAGCTGCCGTTTATCACGAGACGACTGAGACCTGAACATCTGCCTCACCTTCCATCAGGAAGGCCATAGGGGAGGGATGGCCCCTAAAAGGAGCCCTGATTCAGCCCTGGGTCATCAGAAGACAGGATCGGAAGAGCCCAAAGCCCCCCCGTGACTGTGTCCACCTGGTCAGAATCACGTGCCATCTGTAGGGAGGGATTGTCCTCTCTAGTGAAACCTTTGTGTGTAGTACAGATGTGTTTTCATCTCTTTCCAGCTCATCATTCTTAGCTTTCTCCTCGCTAGCCAGCAGGCATCTGTATCTCGGAATTTCTTTTGCCATACAATTATTCATGCCTCCCATAGAAAGACAAAGAGGGATTTTAAGTACTCAAGTGGTAGGCAGAAAATGTTGCTGTCTGTGAGAAATTTGGCCCAAGTAAGATGATAATAAGCATGCACCAGTGTTTTCACAGCTTACGTGTTCGTCATTACTGGTTACGTGACGGTTTCCTGCAGAGCTCAGCGTGGCTTGCGAAGTGCTTTCACACAGTCCAGTGTAGACTGTGAATTTTTTCCCTAATGAAAGTAGAATCTCCTAGTTTTGTTTTTTTGTTTGTTTTGTTGTTATCTTTTTACCATTTGGTTTTGTTTTCCAGGTCTTACTTAGACATGTCCAAAGTGATCATCTTCAGCTACCTCTTCTGGTTCGTCCTTACTATCATCTTCATTACCGGAACAACCAGGATCAGCATATTCTGCATGGGTTACTTGGTGGCCTGTTTCTATTTCCTGCTCTTTGGAGGTGATTTGCTATTGAAACCCATCAAGAGCATCCTGCGCTATTGGGACTGGCTGATTGCATACAACGTTTTTGTGATTACAATGAAAAATATACTGTCAGTAAGTGGCTCCCACTATATAACACATTTGTGGTTTCAGTGAAAGAGTAAACAGTCCACTCAGTGGTTATTAAAAACCCAGTGCCTGTCAAATTGCTCTCTTAAAAGCCCCAAATGAGGTGCTGCAAATTCAGAATTCAAATGTCCATTTATTGCTCTTTCTTTCTTGCTGTATTAAGCAGAATCCTTTTTTCTCATTTCCACCTTTTCAAGGTCACATGACTAAAGGATATGTTTCAGAGGAATAAATTCTAAAATGTATTTTATTAATTAAAATCCCATCCCTTCTGAGGAACACTTTGTCATCATTCAAAGTATGTGTTATAAGGTGGCTGTTTTATAAGCTGAATCTTTTTCAAAGTCACATCATGTTGGCAAAAAGCTACTCTCTTACCTAGAAAGAATTGTAGAAGAGTGAAATAAAGTGAGCGCAGTTCTCGAGAATACTGCATGGAGTGGAGAATGAGGTGGGACAGGCTGCTGAGCGCAGGACTGTTTTGTGTGCCTGTAAGATGTGGGCAGATATAGGAGAAAGCTCAGCTTCCCAGTTGCCTCTGACTAGGCATCCAGATTAGGATACAGCCCAGACGAAGCAGCGTTGAGGAAATGCACAGCTCCCTCCCCTGCAGAGTTCGGTTGCTCTGCTATTAAATAGCTATGTTCCAGGGCACGATTTTCCCCCTAAGTGACAAATGACTTAAACTGCCCACTAGTAATTCCAGAGCTGTATCAGTCTTTTAGGACACAAGGACACCATTTAAGATATTTAGTGCTGCAGGAAATTAAACCACCTTTCATGACTGGAAGGAGTTAATACCTGTCTGGCTAGCTGGCCCTGAGTTGAAGCTAACCCCTGTGCCTGCTCTCACGGGCCACAACTGAAAGCGCATCAGAAGAGCAGTGAGGTAACGACTCCCCACTTCTTCCCTTCCTAGCTGCTTCAGGACGGGGCTCACCGGGCAACTCAACTGTGAAAGCTATTTGAGATTTTTTTTGTGGGGGGGAGGGGGATGTGCATCATTGTATTTAGAGGTCTTTGAAGGCCAAATCTGTGTAGTCATGAATAGATATTTGAATAATTTATTTTTTCTATAGTCCATTGAAACGTTAATTTTCTAGTTGAGAGTAAAAGTGACTGTTACCAGCCCTTTACCCCACTAACATTAATTCACATTTGGAGTAGTACTCAGAGTTTTTGAAGAGAGTATGAGACAGGAGGACAACGTTCCTCTTATTCTAAAATCAGTCTGATGGTGAGGGATCCATTGCTGCAGCCCGACCTTACAACCATTCCCGGAAAATGTGTGGATACAGAGTTCTCTCACTTGCTCATTCATTCGTTCATTCTGTAAGCCTGTATTGTAGATCTCTTCTTTACTAAGCACTGTTTTACATCTGGAAGAACTTGAAACAAATGGTACTCAGGTTTTACACCCCAGGAACTCACATTGTAAAAGGGAAGATAAATCTACTTATAAATAATTAAAATAAAATTTGTTAATGATAATTATCACAACATTTTAGGGAAACAAAGCAAAAAACAATGCCTAAGATCTTACCTATGTAAGTTGAGAAGAGGCTTTCTGGAGCCAATGGCATTTGAACCCATCAGGGACTTAAAAAATAGATTGAATGGTCTCCACGGAGACAAAGGGAGAAGGAAATTCCCAGCCGGGACAACAGGAACAAAAATGCATGGTGGGACAGGGTTGGAATGTTGGTTTGGGAAGCACATTCCCAGGGCTGGAACCCTTGCTGAGGAGCTGCTGCTTTGGGAGCAAATCCCAATGATATTCTCCTACTTCATTTGTTCCCAGGAAATATGAGGTTACACCAAAAAGTTCATGGAAAGATTTGCATTATTTTCTTTTTCTTTTTTTTTTCATTAAATTTTTATTTTGTCAATATACAATGTATATGATTATTATGGCCCATCACCGACACCACCCTCCCTCCTCCTTCTCTCCCCTCCCCCCCAAGAATGTCCTTTCCGTTTGCTTGTTGTAACAACCTCAAAAAGGTATAGTTGTTATATCTTTTCCCCCCCCCCCCCGGTTTTTTTTTTTTGTGTGTGTATGTGGGTGACCCTCCTCCCTTTCTCCCCTCCCCCCCAAGAATGTCCTTTCCGTTTGCTTGTTGTAACAACCTCAAAAAGGTATAGTTGTTATATCTTTTCCCCCCCCCCCCCGGTTTTTTTTTTTTGTGTGTGTATGTGGGTGAATTAATTTGTTTATTTATTTATTTATTTATTTATTTTTTTAGCTCCCACCAATGAGTGAGAACATGTGGTATTTCTTTTTCT